ATCTATGTGTACCTGGCTGCTGGGATTGTCACGTTCGTCATCATCGTGATAATTATATCTGTCATATCGATGCGAGGGTGTAAAGGTAAATGTGTTCAGATTTCTCTTGTCTGAAATTAGACATGGCACAACAGAGTTACAGTCACTAATGTCCTCAAAATGTTTATCTTGCAGGGAAATCAAAGAAGAAGACACAACCTGAAAATCAAGTAAGATCGCAAGCTTATATCTGCCTCCTACCGTTTTTATTCCTTCAGTTATTTTAATTTAAATACCCTTTTGTATTCTTGCAGTACATAGCGATCCCCATGGGCGAACAACCCCTCCGGTCCTCGCCGAGAGAAAGCCCCGCTGTGCCGCCGTCTCGGAGGTCTACCAAGAGAAAGGCGCCCAACGAGTCGACATTAGCGAGAGACAATGAGCAGGTGTGTGGCCAGAAGACAGTGGACAGAACGGGACAGAGGAACACAGCGGAGGAGGAGAGCAGCTCTGTTGTATATGCCGCCCTCAACCACCAGCGGCCGGCCAGGGCTGATGCTCGGCCACGGAGGCTGGTGGAGGAAGGCTCGGAGTACGCAGCTATCCGTGTGGCATAAAGACCGGCTGGACTGAATCACACTAGAAGAATGTAAGACTGGTTTATCCCCGCATCAGGAGGAGCTCAGGAGGACAGTTATGAGGAGATGCAATGATCCTCTCACTGAGAGGAGTCATCATTTCTTCTACATAAACTGCTTGTATATCGTGACAGACCCTCCAACCGAGTCCACCTGAGACCTCAGAGATTGTTCCTGGAATGTAAAATGGTACATGAGCACACATGTAGAGGTGATTAGACGTTGGATTTTGGCAGATTAGTAGGAATACATGCACTTCTGGTACACTGCAATGCCAACCGGCGATGCGTCGGTGCAGTTTGCTTTTCACTTCAGACAAAATGGCACATGCCAAAAGAATCAACAACAAAATACAACCTGCCTCAACAACACTGCAAACAGTACGGACGAACAAACACATATTTTTGGTTTTTGGTGCTCCTCAAAATGAAGTTTCACCCAGCCCTAAAGCAAAATCACCAAAATGATAAAAACTGGGAATAAAAATAGCAATTCCTTTTTTAAAGCAGTTTTGGTAACTGGGGTTTCATTTAGTCAACATGTTGGTTCACTAGATGGCCTGAAACAACAGGGGAATGCGTAGATTCCTGTCAAAAAGGGTCATTCAGTTTCTAGTACGCGGACCGATCGTGTTAATTGTCATCCCTCAAAGGCCTGTTCCGAGCCAGGACAAACTTTCAACTTTCCTCAATGCTAAGCAGCCTTTCATAACATCCATCCAGTGATAAATGTTTGAGTTATTCAACAGATAGAACAAGACGAATGGCAAACTCAAACTCCCACGATGCATCCACAGCAGCCCAGAGAAGAAGTCTAATCCGGCACAATAAGTAAAAAAAAAAAAACACTTCCGTACGTGTAGCACAGCTGTTTAGGGCTTCTAGCATTCGGAAATCAGTGGCTTTTCATGTTAAATTTGAACAAAGCAAAGTAAAGAGGCTACAATTGTTATTCGCGTGTCGTGAGCAGCAGCTAGAAAATTAGTTTGTAAGATTTCCTGGTTTGCCTTCTCAAACTGTAATAGACAGGAAAGGAACTGAAATCGAGCTACTCAGTCCTCACACTGTTATAAATGCATTTCTATGATTTTTTTTTTCTGATTTGCGATGTTGAATGTTTTGCTTTATGCCCTCACTGTAGGTTACAACTGATGTTGCACATCCGTGACTTGAATTTACTCTCTAGCATCATCACATCTGGTGACTGCAATGGTTTCATCCTTTATTTAATCAACTATTGACTCATTTCCTGCCTCCATCAAAGATCACTGAGCTTTTGTAATTACTGATTGTGATTGTGTTGAGAAATCGAGAATGTGATATTAATCATTTTGTGCAATTGAATGACACAATGTATGTTTGTCTTTAAATAAGAATATATGACGCCATCACTGCTGACTTGCTGTCATACTGTTTTCTTTACCTCCCACTGAAGCAACAATGGTCCACATGTACTGAGGTGTAAAAAAAACAAAAACGTGACTGTGTCTCTCGAATGGCCTTCTTTGGTGGTATGACACGTATACATCCCCCAAAGACCACTTT